AAAAGAAAAAAAAAAAAAAAAGTTTCAGTTGCACTTGAAGGATGAAAAATGCTGACTGCGTAATTAATTTAGTTGGACCCACTTCGCTCATGTTCACATCGACCAGTGGTTACATGATTCCAATTAAGCGATCAATTTGTTCTGTGTAGAAAACAGAACCGGCGGTTGTTCTCGTCTCAACTGAGTACAGTAGCTTATAATCTATTCCATGATCTCGCCGAATGGCGTGATAGCGCCATGTAAAAGGGATTCTATCAGGACATAAACTTGTCTACAGCATGCGGACACTGTCGTGGTAAGGCGATGACATTTGTTGGTGCACCTACGGAAGGCGGCCGTTCTACCCTGAACAGACCTTTATTATGGTCTGGACACGGTATGCATGAGTGTGAGGAGGGAGGTGTTGTAGTGAGACAGGGGGCGCGCTCTGATTGCGCGCGGTTGCCGTGTAGATCGAGGTCGATCCCGTCCCAGGCCAATCACGATTTTACCATTCAGGCGACGGCAAGTGGGTACCGGGTTAGTCTGGAAGGACTAGAGGCACTGCCGTCGTACTAGGGTTCCCAAAGCCACTGTGTAGGCGCATCGATTCAATAAGCCACAACGATTCGTGATGGAAGTAGGATCGTGCCATCCCAACGCGGATTGGTCAATAGCTAAGACTTTATCCTTTTTATCCTTTCAAAGGTGATATTAGATATGCTCCATAGAAAGTACATTGACAAGAACAGAGACGTCCAGCGAAAGTCATCGACTAGACCCAGTAAGCATCTAATCTGCCCATGATCTCGGAACCCTGTCCAACAAGAGAAGTCCTATCGGACCCAATCACTCGCTATTTTTGCGCTATGCTGCAAGATTAGATGGCATTGCTCGACAGGAGGGACCTCTGCATAATATTCGACTAAGCGATCCAGAGTTAGGATCGACTAGGCCCAGGGCGACAACCCGGAGCTGGTAGAGAGAGTAGGTAGCCAAGGTCACCACAGCTCTCCGACAAGCCTGCTGGGGGTTGAAGAAAGCAGTCCGCCTCAGCTACGGACGAAAGAGGATACCTGTTTCTTTCTAGCTTTCGAAAAAGTTTCCTTTGCAAACCTAATAGCTCACTCGAATTGTTCAAGGAAAAGCAAGAGAAAATGAAAATTCACTGACTACGTTGAAAAATCGAACATGGCGTCTTCCAAGAGGAACTAGAAAACTTATACGCAAGACCGTTCGGGTACCTGAAATGACCCCCTTCAATTATTTCACAACCTTTAAAAATTCGAAGAAGTTGACGAGGCCGAACAAACGTGTGACAATCTTGGAAAGGCAGCTCAGGCCTAGATTGAAAATCTTGGGATTAACTGGCTAAAGCACAACGTCAAAGGCACAGGATTGTACGCGGAAAGGCTTCTCAACTAACGCATGAATAAGAACGACGTGTAAGTGGCTTGGCCGATAGTTGCTGAAGACGAAGAAACGCTGACGTAATGACAATTAGGTACGAAAGAAGCTCTACATAAATCCCCGACATATTATCCTTATTAGATCTGCATGAGAAATCGCTATGAAAGAACTCACACCGTAAACATCGCAGGAATATTCCTCACAAAGAAACAACAGAAATGACGTCATTTTTGAAAAGTCAACGCGACGGGATGTATCAGTTTTCATGGTTTTTGTTCAGGGGACGTCGTGCATTGGGATCCCCGCGAGGGGGTCGTATTTGCCTTCCCGAAAAAATGTTTCCAGTCGTAGACTTGCACGTGTTCTTGCGCTCTATACCTCTCCTCCCCCTCAACAGCAGTTTTTTCCGAAAAATATGAAAAATCGTTGAAAAAAATTGCGAGTAAAGTAGTAGTAAACTAGAAGAGTTCAGGGAGACGGTAGGTAGGATAGATGGGAGTGAGAATCGCATTTTGCAAAATTATTTCCTAACGGCAGGACATGCCTGAATTATCTTCGTTTCCTCTTACTGTATCATAATAGTTCCAGCTGGCACAGTACTCATTTGGTAGGATGAAAACGAGCACACAGCGGCAGCGGGGGGGGGTTGGGGAGACTGACCCGCCGCAGGCAGGTCCGTCGTAAAACAAACAGCAGCGTATGTACAATATACCACAACGATTCTGTAAACAGGAGAATGAAATGCGTGCCGCATTTTTTTAAGGAATCGAGTGGCTTTGGCCTTAACTATTATTATTATTATTATTATTATTATTATTATTATTATTATTATTATTATTATTATTATTATTATTATTATTATTATTATTATTATTATTATTATTATTATTATTATTATTATTATTGCTTTGTTTATATGTAGCTTTACTTACCCTTCACTATGCCACCGCTGGAAATTCAGGCTGGGTTTCGAACGAAAATTCTCCCAGGCGATATAGTCGACAAAAATACTGTTCCTATGAAATATGTTTCCACTCGTTCCACATGAATTACCTCCTTTCACTTAGCTCGTTTACTGTCTCACAAACTGCGCCCCGAAAAACCCAAGGAATTTGCTAAAAACTTGACCCATCATAGTTTGATCCTGTCGAAAAAGAGGTGTCACGGTCACTATTCCGGGCGTTTTCGATCTAGGCGAAAATATTCATGTCCAAGCTACTTCAGACCCCCCCGGCACTCGGTACGTTTTGGGATTTCCCAGGAATGGCGGTATTTGGTTGCTGGGGGTCGAATTCGCTCCAGAGAAAAATATTTTTGAGTGTTGGGTTTTCTCGGTTTCCTGTTTCGAGTGCGCTAGTGGAGGAAGTTTTGAGGTGGGGGGGGGTGTGAGGCGTACTGCAAGAATTTTTTTCCAACGGCCAGGCGTGCTCTGATCAGAATACATCCGAAAGCTAAGATTAGACATAGTTCGCTCCAGAAGAGTGAGTCGGTCAGAATGCGATCAGAAATTCAAAGGGTAAGGTGAATAGTGCCTCATATTGAGCATCTCTAAAAGTGCTCTCTAGAAATAATGAGGTCAAAAAATGAGCTTCAAAAATCATGTCTGCTGCAAAATAAGGAGTTGTGTAATACAAGTGTCTAGCATGGAAGTGAGCGCTGTCCAGGAGTCCAATGGGAACTTTCGAATGCCAAAAACGATTTCTAGGAGATCAGATCCACTTTCAGTGATGTCTAGTGGCCTTGTCAACTTAGGGCATGTAGGACGTGATGATTCAAAAATAAAAAATATCAGCATGATTGCAGAGTGCCCCTTCCCCCTTAAAAGCGCCGAATAACGCCAACAGAACGATAGGTAGACAGTCACTGATTCTCTGACGTCTTCATTCAGTTTTCATTGAAGCTAAAAATTACTTTGGACTTCCGTGGCCGCCGGGCTTTTCAGCGGCCGTTTTTTTAAATTATTGGAGCAGATTCACGTGTAGGGTTGCGCGGCATTTTGGTTTTTTTTTTTTCTACTTCCCGATGACGTGTTTCACTGTTGAAAAATGGTCACGAAGTCTTTCGCCTGATACAACTTCATAGCTTTTTACGGGATTTTCAACAAATCTTCATGATGGGCTCGACAAGGGCATTCGAGTGGGAAGTGGCGAAAGTGCGGCACCCGCCCCCCTCTAAACGCGAACTCTCAATTAATCTGTAAGCAGCCGTATCGCCTTTCACCCTACACTCTTTTACACTTTGGCATTCTTAATGACACTGAAAACATGGTAACCTGATACGGCTTCCTTTTTTATGGAAACGCTATTTTCCTGCGGCCCACACACGAGCCACTTAGTGTACAGCTTCGTTGTGCAAACCCGCGAGAAAGGGGAGGGTTGTATTTTACCATGGAAAAACCTTTCCAGCAGTTGGTGTAAGGGCTTAGGATGTAAAGCCTACACTTCACTGTGGCTGATTTGGTAGATTTCCCGTTTCTTACGCACTCTATCCTCCTTCCCCCTCCACAGTTCCCCTTAGTTAGTGGCGCAGTGAGCTTTATCTCTGATAAATTGATAGAATTTGTCTACACCACTTCCCCCCCCCGCTCCCCCTACCCTCTCACCCGGCACCGAGCGGACAGCAGGTCAAACTATCGCCGGGACCAGCGTTCATCCAAGTCTACCCACGGAAAAAGATATATAAAAATGTAACCTGAAGTTTTCAGAGTAGGATAGCAAAGGGTGAGCAGTGCGAAATTTTGCAAAATGCGAATGTAGCGCAGTCAGTCGGACCCAAATTAATGTTCGCCCAATGCGAGGCATGTACA